CAATTTTTAAAAATCATCGGGAAAATTCAACGCGAGATTTCCAATGTAATTTTCCATTATATCGCAATGTAGATTATATTACAAACGGGACGAGAAAATAAATCTTTTTGAGAAAATTCTTCAATGGATGGAACGAGATTCGAAATACGTTTCGAAACAGGCGTGGAATCTTTAGGGACCGATCGATCGATCCAGAATGGTTCGCAGAATATATATATATATATATATAATATATTCCAAATATTTGTCCAACGAGATTCGACACGGGATTCACGCGTGTCCATAACCTCGATCCGAAGCGACATCAGTTTGCCATATATTCCGCGAGGAGGTGTTGGCAGCGGATCACCTCCGTTTCCCCGGAGATTCTATTTCGCTGCTGAGTCACGATCCCGCGTTTGTCGACGTGAAAAGAGGGACCTTGTCCTCCTGGGGACACCTTCGAAACGAACCCCTAGGCATTCGAGCCCCTCTTCGATTCGACGTGTCGCCTCTGAATGGGGAACTGGGAACTGGATGATAAAGAAAGGACACCGAAGTTTTGCACGAGAAAGATTGTTCCTTCGTCGAAATTTGTCGGATTTCACGCGCGCCATCTTCTTTCCTTTTCGTTCGATTCGTTAATTTTTCATCGTTCGAAGCGAAATGGATATGAAAAAAAAAAATAAACGCTTTCCACGCTCTACAAATGCAATGTTCGATTAGAATTTAAGTTTAAAAGAAAAAAAAAAAAATCGATACGCACCGATGTTAATTGTGCAAGTAAGCGGAACGAAAAGGCAAGAAAATTTTATATTAGATCGATTCTTTATTAGATCGTTGAATGTCTTAATCGTAGCCTGGAAAATTGATTCTCGCTCTTTCTTTCTTTCTTTTCTTCTTTCGCCGATAAGTGAATTAATTCTCGAGCAACGAGTGTAACGATATATACGGTTTTCTAGACGGAATAATTAAGGCTTTCTTACGGGAGGGCCGCGTAAAAACACGTAATAAGCGGTGGCACTCGAGAGGCGAGCGCAGCGCTAACCTCTTTACCTCCTTTCGCCTTTCCTTCCTTCCACACCCTGCAACTGCAACTTCCACACTCGAAAACTCGACGCGTTGCATTTTTTCCCCGAATATTTCGAAATAGAATCGATCATAGATTATTCTGTTC